ATATATATATATATATATATATATAAGATAGCAGATTTGGTCGCCCTTGTGTTAACACAACTCTCTTAACGATATTTACTATTTTACTAACGTTTGGCACAGTAAGTTGAAAAGGGCATCAATTATTTTTACCCATTTTGTCGATATTTCACACGATTTATTACAGTGTGCCTTACAGTGATAAATAAATATTCGCCACTCACACATGTGAAACTAAATTGACTTGGTACATTCATTTGTGTGGCTTCTTCCAATGTGGATATACATCACAGGACACTGTTAAATCCACCGCATAGACAATACTTGGATAATCTCATACTTTTTTGAAGTAACTTACAATTAGTATCATCACAGCTGGCTGTACGTTTGTTGTTTACCTTATTATAGACTACAATAATGGACTTATTATGACTAGTTGAAACTTCATCCATAATACTCAGATAATCGTGTCATTTGTTATATTTCTACCCCCATTCCCAACACGTAATTCTAAATAGCATGTTTTAAAGTTATTTTGTCATCTAAAAAATAATCTGGTTAGCAGTACGAAAATACTTTGTTTGTTTATAATTAAATACAAAGCTACACAATGAGCTACATGTGTTCTGCCCACCACGGGTATCGAAGTCCGGTTTCTAGCGTTGTAAGTCCGCAGACATTCCGCTGTGCCACTAGGGGGGGGGGGCGTAGGAAAGTATAAATTAAATTCCAAGGAAGGCGATGAATTGCCAATTTGCAAAGGAAACTTTCACCTATATGTTTGACACAGTTTTGTGGCATTCAATTTTTATCCTTCACTCTTATTTTTCATCAGGCATGTTTTGCTCCTGTGTATATCGCCGGTGACTGAAGTTTCGAATCAGTACCCTTTATATGAAAAGAATTGTTAGAATCCAATCTGCATAACTCGTGTAAGTTCCATGATCACGCACCTCAGTATATCTATAATGCAGTATTTATGCTTATCGAATTTTATATATGTATATGCATTATATACATGTGTTGCGTTCTACAAGAAAAGTTAGATACATTTCCTGAGTTTTGTTCCAAGTACTTAGAGCAAGAACTTAGTAAAACAGTAACTTATACTAGCTTGAAAGTATAGTGATAGAGAAAAAAATGTTTTTCATATCGGTGTTCTCGAAATAAATAAACTTAATCTTAATTTCGACGCTTTTCTTTTACAGGAAACTTTTTACAAACATAGGTTTCACTGATGTAAGAGCATTCTTTTCTTGAAATATACTTTAAATTCTAAGTATCACAAAATTTCACTAGAACTGTGTATAAGAACTTGATGGGAATTCGAAAATATAAGTGGCTGATATGCATTAAACAATATAAAAATATAATGAACATGATGATGACACAAGCTTGTCGAAACGTCGTTCTTTCACTACCCATTCAAGCCGCCTCCAAACTTTATTTTCTAAAAAGCATTGTAATTAACAGTATTTGTAAATTTTCCTTTATCAGAAACAAAAACTCACTTACATTCTAGACGTGATCACTTTCAATTATTTTAGCAAAAGCAGAGTAATTCATAAACAAAATTTTCAATTTGAAAAATTAAAATCAAAGATAAAATTTCACATTACTTTCAATAAGAAAACTGGCCAATCACAATTTCGCCTTTTTTTTTCTTTTTATATTATGAGGATCATTTATTTATGATATTTTGTTTGTTTTTTGATATTGACGAATAATTTTCTTTTGTTTTAAAAAAGTTACGGCTTTCTATCAACTGACCACAAAAAATTTTTTCATTCAAATGTTTTCAACCTTTTTTAAAGAAAAATATGATTTAATATTTGTTTTATTTTTACTATTGATATCTAACACTATATTTAAACAACAGTATATAAAGGTTTTAAAAATTATTCAAATTTATGATTGAATATATCTTTTTTTTTACACATGACAATTAGTGAATATGGTGCACCAACTAGTTTGTAAAAAACGACAAATTTGACTGACAAATTGCATCATCCATTGAAATCTGTGCAATAAACAATTAAACCCAGGATTAACTTAGACAAGTTATAACTATTATATTTAGCAACGAAGTTATTTTATTTTCTGGATCGTAAAGGACGAATTTTTTCCATAACTAATGCCACCAAGTAATTGCATTTCAAAAGTAACTTTCGTAAAGTATATAAATTTTCAATAGCTTCCCCTAGATCAAATGCAATAAATTGTCGATAGATGGCAAGAGCATGCACGGTATTGAATAAAACAAATTAAAATTCGAGATAACTATATTGCATCGTATTTCTTAACTGACTACTTACCAGGAGAAAAACACAGTAAATAAAGTACAAGGCCAACAAGGACCAGCCAGGAGTAATCTGATGGACACCATTGGTAAGACCAAGTCAATGACTTTTCTAACAATGAACTGTTGCATTGACCCGTGACAGAAATGTCGGGTTTGTCTAAATCAGCCAATAGACAACTTCCATTGGACGGTCCAGGTGGCAGGTCCAAAAAACAGTAGCCACAATAAGGATTGTTAACACACTGTGAACAGGAACTATAGAAAAAGCAAGAAAAATGTATCAATGTTTCATTGTTCGGAAAAAAGTTCGGAAATTTATAATATGGAGCTACCGATAATGTTTTGAGGCTTAGTATTATTTTTTAATCTTTTGATATATCCAAGTAAAAATATGAAATTTCCATGAATAAAAATTTAAAGCATCACCTTTGTAATATCGGTAAAGCGTGCTTCAAAGTAACCGAAAAGTCGTTACCTAATTGTTTTCATACTTCTGAATCATAATGCAGCCGAAAAAATGTCCCTTAACAACATGTATATTTTGTAATTATTTCTGTTTGAAGCATGTGTTATGCACTGGTAGCATAGAATTAAGATTATATATTAGTCCCTTTTGTATCAAGTTTTTTTGTGAGGTGAAGTAAAACAAAGGCAGTTTTTTTATTTCGCTTTTTTATAGATCAGAAATTTCAATGAGTTAAATCCTTTCCTTATAAAAATACTCTCTTTTCATGTAGGTTTTTACACCTGATGATGATAGCGTAAAGCTACCGAAACGGGTAGTCATTTGATGTTTGCCGTCGGCCAAATAAAAAAAAATACTATTGTGCATTTAAACTTTGATTTTGTTCTTATTTTTTATAGCCTATTCTAATACACGATAGTATGCGATTAAATTCTTGCAAATAATTAAAAATACGGCAACAAATTCTTTGCGCGAATTAACTCGGGCAAATATTTTTTTAAACATGTAGGGCGCCTGGGTAATCTCTGGCAAATCACGGAAGGGTTTAATTATTTTGTCAAAAATACACCTAAACAGAAACTTCTTGTTTCTCTTGTTTAAGCCAACTGTAGGGATTGGACCTTAAATTGTACCATTATAAATACTCTATCTTATTACTGAGCCAACAAAAAACGAAAATAAGTCGAGGCACAATATGAATTTTAAAAATCTTCAGGAAGTTCGGTTTTAGCAAATACCTTCATATTTATTGAGGTTGAGGTATTATCATTAATTTTTGATCAAATTAATCTACCTACACAGAAGTAAAAACTAACTCAGTTTTTGTATCATTTTTGTTTATAATAGTTTTGAATGAATTGATTTGTCAGTTGGATACCCTCTTTGTTAGAGACATTTTCGGCCATAATCCCATGCGATTCGGCAAGCTTATAATTTTTAGGTTAGCCTTGAGCCTAATATATTAAGATTATAATGCAAAATAATCTTCATGGTAAAATTAAATAATATAACTGAAAAATAATAAAAATATGTTATATATATATATATAAACAATTTTACCAATATTGTCTAATACAACCGACATTATAGAAACAATAGAATATTCCAGAAAGATGTTATGAAAATGTACTGATATATATATGAGTCAGAAAAAAATATTATATTGAAACGAAATTGCTGTTTTTTTCTTTTTTCTGTACCTACTTTTATCAAACAAAAATAATATTTTTTAACGAAGATCTTTTGTGACATCGTTTCATCACTGCCATTATATGTAATTATTTTGTAAAATCGTTGAAAAAAGTTCACACTGTTTTATTTTATCAATAAATACAACTTTTGAGTGTGTTATTCTGTAAACTTCAGGATTAAACTCAAGCTACTCACCTGTATGAAGAACATACGGTGCCAGACCCATCGGTGCCATTTATTTGTATCTGTGGAGAGTGGAGGTTAGCTAGTTGAAATCCAACAGCCATTATCCCCAGACTAAAGGTAACTCCTGCAAATAATAAAGTTAAAATAATTCTATACACTATAATTAAATATTCTACCTGAAAGTACTTTTACAAGAACGTGTAGTTTTTAATCTTCTGCACTTACACGTCAGAGTGTCATGTTTAAATTATTATAAACGTATATAAGCACCTTTCTTTAATGCTTCTGAAGTAAGCGCGTTACGCCAAAACATGGACCAAAATATATTCAAACACTGAACGTAGTTTGGCAAATTTGTGTTTCAAACTTAAATATTTAATGCGTCACATCTTTTTATATACAATTATAACCAGATGTACTTTCGCAGTGTCCTCGAAAATGTTCTGTTTCAAGAGTAAATAAAACCAAAATTATTAGTAACAAATATTTTTATTTCTTGCTTTTCAAATTCATATGTCATGCTGTGTTGTAGCCTATTGTGTACATAATTCTTCTCGTGATTCATGACATGCGCACACTTTACTGACGTCATGACAGTACAAATTGCAATGTTAAATGTCCCTTATGTGACTGACTGACACACAAAACACACCTGTTTAATGGTGCAAGTGGTTAAAACAGGTGACCTCTCTAGGCGGCCTTCGGCCAATTTTCGGGTAAATAATGCTTTTGGCACTAAAGCTTTTATTTCATTAAACAGAATATAATACTCTAAAATAAATATATATATATATAAAACGGTCGTTTACAAATTATTGATTCTAAATTATGTTGATTAATTCAGTAAAACTGTTTAAAAAAAATCAACCCACTACAGATAACTCTAAAACGTCAAGAACAAACATCACTTTGTGTAATCACTTACCTGCTAGACTAAAGAGTGTAAGTGGCCTTCTTCCTACTTTTTCAACCAAAAACAGGCCGGGGAAGGAACAGCAAAAGTTAACTGCTGCTATCACAGCCGCTAACCAAACGGCTGACGACTTATGCTTTATTCCAGACATCTCAATAACAGAGGCGCCGTAGAAACTGAAGACAGAAATAATAAATGTGGTTTCATCAAAATTTTTATTTTATACGATTACAAATGTCATAAATGAATCAATTGCAAACGAAGTTGTGATTTCATCAACTTCTGTTCAGAGTATCGTTATAATCAGCCAATAACAGGGCTATTAAGTATACTTAATCCAATGAACATACACAAGAAAGTGAAAGATTTGTTGGTGAACATAAGTTCTAACGATACGTTTAATAATAAAAATTCACTTGAAAGGCGATTTCTCAAATATATACACACATATATCAATACTTTCTGCTGGCGTATATATAAAAATAATCTTCGACGATTTGTTGCGGTGTTTTTCCTGAATAACACGTGTGACTACATACGTGAATCTTTCAATAGAATATTGTCGTCAACATCCGTACCATGAAACGTTCTGACGTTTCAACAAAATTGAAATCTTTAATGACGCTAATATTTGAATTACGTTTTGATAGCTACGTTGCTCTACTCCAGAACCCTAATGTTTGGATTAAACGTTCAATTCACACGCAAATTCTCTGCAAATGTAAGCTCTCCTTTAATATACTGTAATTATCGCATCTACATTGTATATCTGTGAGAATGGTTCTGCGTGATACTTTAGTGATCACAACAATGCGATGTATAATCACGTGTATTAGAAAGACAAAAATATCAAACTTTCCTAAAAGCACTCAAACCACTTCTTGTCTTTTATAAAAACTGCATGGCCAGGTGGTTAGGGCGCTCGACTAGCAACCTGCGGGTCGCGGGTTCGAATCCCTATCCCACCAATCATGCTCGCCCTTTCAGCCGTGGGGGCATTATAATGTGATGGTCAGTCCCACTATTCGTTGGTAAAAGAGTAGTCCAAAAGTTGGCGGTGGGTGGTGATGACTAGCTTCCCTCCCTCCAGTCTTACACTGCTAAATTAGGGACGGAAAGCGCAGATAGCTTTGCGCGAAATTCAAAACAAATAAACATAAAACTGACGACTTTCTTTGTACGGGCGGAAGAATTGTACTTTGATAATCATAACTCTAAAGAAAAATATTTCATATTATTCGATGTTGGGAGAGTGGGCCCCTGTGGTTAGCGTGCCGGACAGAGGTTCCATGGTTCGTGTCTCGTTACCGAGAAAAAAATCGTACCCAGCGGTTTGTGGTCGTGGATCCGAGTAATGGTAAAATCCTAATATTCTGTCTGACAATATTAGCCCAAAAGGTAGCAGTTGATGGTGTTGACTAGCTGCCTTCCCTCTAATCTGTCAATTCAAAATTAGGGACGGCTGACGCAGATAGTCCTTGTGTAAAATTACGCGAAATCCAACAAACAAACAAATAATACTCGACTGTTTACATTTTTATGAAAGGTAACAGTTTCAATAGCTTAGGATATTACAAAAATATTCTAATCCGCGACAGACACTCTGAAAACAAAAAAATATATATATTTACGTTTCATAATTCAATAAATCTCCATAGTAATATCCTTAGGAAACAAAACAAGCATGCGCACAACTCACATGACTGTATTAACGCCTACAAAGTGTTGGGTAACGTGGAGGAGACAGCCAATTGTGAGAGCACGTTTAACGGCAGAGTTTCGGAAAATTTGAAGGATTATCGGCCTGGAACCTGCGAATCATTAAATTCATTTTTTATTAACAATATTGCAAAAAATCACATATTGCTTTTATTTTATAAAAATAAATCTACATTCATAAAAGCAATGCTTATTTAATTCATTCATGTTAACTACTATAAAAACCTCGTCTTTATGAAAATCTCAACAAATTAAGAACTAGGAGAAACTTTGAATCTCTGAGTAGTCTTCCTTCAGCTTTGCCCACTTCTCTTTGAAAACAAGTCAATGATCAACAGTTAAAAGGATCTTAATATAAAGTGCATCAAGCCAGTTTTTCTTCATGATCCCTGAACTTTCCACGAATTCTACTGATCAAATGTTAACTACAATCGTGAATTTAGTATTCAGAGTCACGAATTTTCTAAGTTGCAGTTTCATATACATACACATTCAAGTAGGAAAAAAACTTGTTTTGATTATTTTCTACCTCTGAGCTAAAGTTTCTTTTTCTCTTTTTAAATAAGTGCCGATAGTGTAGCATTCCAAAGTCGTTAAGACATTTAGTACTCCTCTATCATTGTTATTATAAAGTGAAAGGATGGTGTACTTATTGAATATCGAAAGGAGCTACTGCTTAATGATAAAACTTCCGAATAACTGTAAGCTTCATTCTGGATATAGAAACATGATTTATATTGATGTTTGGTCATTAACGTTACTTTGAATTGAAAAAATATCTTCCAGCTATCTCATACTAATCTTGTTGGTTGTATTAAATAAAAATATTCTCGACGAGTTATAAGGATAAAGACGTACCATAAGTAAAATAAAGTGACATACTGAAATAAAATCCTGTTACATTCCATTACAAATAACTCTACGAAGAGTTTATTGTTGCCCTCGTCTGAAATTGATTGAAATGACTTGATCTACTATGGGTGAGAGTATGCAGACTCGAATATTTTGTATGCAGAAAATTTATTTATTTATTGTTATATCGTCCTTACAATTAAAGTATGTCAAGCAAACTGTGTTTATTAATTTCTTTCATGTTAATAAACAGTAGTTGCTTTGTGAATATAGTTCAGATATTTTGTTAAAATGATACGTCAGATTGTTTTAGGTGAGACTGTATAATTATATTTTATTGTAACAAATTAGAAAATAAACTTCATTAAATAAATGATGCAATATAAAGAAAGCAATAATTTATCATCAAAAGAAATGTGTGTAAGGGTAATTTCAAGTTTTTCTTTTAGCGCATGCGGACAAAGGTTGAATGTAATGTACGATTCCCTCATCAGGGCCTCAACTTATATTCGTCGAAAAAAATCATGCAGCCAATAATTTAAAAACATGTACCATACAATTGCAGAATATAGAATAATTTTATACAAAAATAAAATACTTTAGTTATGCAGAAAATATAAAATCGCGTAATCTCTACCTCAAGTAAAAACAGTTTAAAACAATAACATTTAAGAGAGTGTTAGATACAAATAACAATTTCTCAAAATTTGCCATTTTCATTCTTTATGATATAACAAGAAACAATTTTCAGACTTTTGAAGTATTGTGAAAGACCATTAATCAGACTGTCTAGCCATCAGGAACTACTTGCGAAGCAAAAAGAAATAAAGTTGTAACTAAGTCAAAAGTTATAAATCTTATAAAACTGATCTAAACTTTACTAAATCTAGAAATTCAGAGTTTGATCATGCAGTCAACACTGATTATGTGGTCTTTTAATCGTGTTAAACACGGATTATTCCTTATTAACAACTTCTGTCATGAACGTTAAGCTTTTGTGGACAGCAAATGCCTAGAACATAGGAACAGAGGGCGTTTCGTTCTGTGTATTTGAAAGATGCGTTCGTAGACTTCTAAGAGTAAACTAAACATTTATACGTGTACTAATTCACTATTTTGTCTGTAAACACAAAGAGTGCAATACTACCTGCGTCAGTGAAACTACAGGAGTAACAATGACGCTCTCTGAATTGTAAAACAGTGAAATCGCATATTTTCATGTAAACTCTTAACAAATTAGAAGCACATATTAAGAGCAGAATAGTTTATGTTAAGCTAACGTATTTCATTTCTATTTTCTGTCAAATGTTAGTAATTCGTTACGATGTTGTAAGGTGCTTCTAGAACTAACGTGTCTACGTTATACATTTCACTGATCTACGTATAACTTCAAAATATCAAAATACTTATATGACTTAATTACCTTAATATTAACAGCTTATTTATGTACTAATTGAAAGAAATAAAAATATTAAATGATATTTTGATAGAATAGTTGTTAAAACGTTTAATCACTGCTTAAAGAATTGATTGATTTTTAATTTCAACAAATAAGTGCAACTTGAGCTTTTAGTACTAAAAAGTCAAACTAACGCATTCAGTTTGAGTAGTGCACATCAATAGTTTATTAGTTCTATCTCATTCTTTGAAAATGATTAAAATGCATTGATACAATAATTTATTTTAAAATAGCAGCTGCATTTGAAATACTATACAAGTATAATATGGTTGAGTAAACTATGATAAATTGTAATAATCGAACACTTGCTGCTGCTGCCATCTATTGAAAATGCGACACAACTTATCAATTCAGAAGGCTACATCGGGATGTTTCAGTTTTGGGAGGATAAGTATTTTCTGAATTAATATTCTTGTTAATGAAATACTTGAAAGGTACCTGTATTTCCCATTTCTCGTTCTGTTTCCAAGTAGCTTGCTTTAATTGAATCAAATTCTTCCTCTGCGTCAGATGTTTGTCCACGTACACTCTTTAAAACCTCCAAGGCTTCCTGATATTTACCTTGAGCCACCAGCCACCGCGGGGATTCTGGCATTATAAGAAAGCCGAAAAACTGGATAAAGGAAGGTACTGCTGCTAATCCCACCATAAATCTGAAAAAAAGTCTTCCTTTACTTTACGATTTGTTATCTTTAAGTTATTATGGTTTCCCCAATATTTTATTGTTAAAAATATACCTTAAAATAAAAAAATGCCAATACCGAAAACACCACTAGCTTTTTTAATGATATAAGTAGCCCCAAGAGTGATAATTCTGACTATAAGAAAAGTTCCATAACCCTAGCTTTATTACATATCCAACATGAGCTTCTACTTGCCAGTAAATCTGAATGTTTACATTTGAAACGTTCTGATTACCAAATTATTTCACAAACCTCTCAACTGACACGTGCCTCACTTTCATATGGACAATTAAGTTTTTCAATTTCTGAAGTTTCTGGCTTATAAGTTAAACTTGGGTAATTCGAATATCTGTGCAATGCATCGTATATGTTATTATAACACATTTACAGATTTTTACGTGTATGTTCAGCTATTTCATCAATCTTGAGTAATCGATTAAGAAAATGGAAGAGCTCCAAGAATATTTCCTCTTTCCTCATAAGTTTGATTGAAGAAACTTGGATTTTTCCGCCTAACAAATTCGACACTCGTAGACGTCAACATCAAGCTTCTGTTGTTTCTCGCCCCAGCTGTTAGTTATTCACGTTGTAAGAGATACGAGCTTCTGTCTCATATCTTTAAAGAAACAGACGAAAAAATACTGGATTATCTGGCCTACTACATCCGCCACTCGTTTGATGGTCACAGAAAAAGTAGTTAAGGAACTTAACAAAATACAGTGTAAATAGAAAGGATGCTTTTTACCAACGAATAGCGGGATTGACCGTCACATTATAATGCCTTCACGGGTGAATGGGCGAGCATGTTCTGTGATGGGTGTCAAACCTATGATCTGCAGACTGCAAGTCGAACAGTCCAACCACCACGATATGCCAAGACATTTCTGAAAGGCCCATTCTGTCTCGCTTATTTCCCTCAGCTCAGACAGATTGGACATACGATGCTTATTTGGAGCTTCTTTCAGATCAGTCTAAAGCATTTATAATGTACTTAGGCCTGGTGATTGCCGAGGCCATTCCAAAAATTATGCTACTTAGAAATGAAGATGGTGAGCATGGGGAGGGGGGGAGGCATTTAATTTTCCTTGAGAAGGTTGTATTTTGCCCGACAACTATAGCTTCTCTCACGTGTGTAAACGTGAAATAGATAACTGACAACTCAGTGAATATTACACGATGAAAATTCAAATAACTTGAACTTCCAAATTAGATTATCTGTTTATTCAGCCGGTCATCTTAAAGGTTTCTGTTTCGGTATTGGCAGAGTATTGTGTGTCAGATATTATTTTGTGTGCTTACTAGATACTCCAAATACTTCTCTTTCATTTTTTCCAGTATCTAATTTTTTCTCCGGACTGTCATTTTACCCATTATCTCCCGCAGCTTGGATTATAAACCATGCTCGACCACAGGTGATTTGGAAGTAAACACTTGTTATAATGCCACCTTGTTTATTTATCTTTGAAACTAAAACACGGAGATTTTAAAATTTTCACCCACTGTTATATTTGTATAAAGCGAAATATAAGCCTGAGCTATAAAGATATAGTAAAAACTATAGTAATAATTTTAAATAACTTTAACTGCATAGATATACGATTAAGTCAAGATAAAATGTACGGGACACATGAAAGAACAAGGGGGTTGATCGTTATATCCGCCAAGGAATTTTATGTTTAACAAATCTTAGTCTATGGATAAATGTGAAGAAAAAATGGTATATATAGTTGACTATTGATCAACACCGAGCGTCGCAACAGAAAAGTTCTAGGTAATTGATAATATTATCTGTTCCAACTCTTATAATTAAAACGGAAGTAATTTCAGGTTACAGAAAAGGTGTCAGTATAAAAAATAAACAAGAAGATGGCACTTGGACTACAGGAACAATTCTATGTACTGGTCGATAAGGTCAATGTGACTAATGACGCAATTTCCGCTTGTCAAAATCACGTGATCTTAAGATTAGTACAATCATTTTCTGATCTTGTCGATTTTCACTGAGTCGTACTTTCATTTCCACCGATTATTATCTTCCTGGCATGGGAGAGTTTCTATGAAAGTATATTTTTTGTTGTTATTAAGACCAGAGGGAACACTAAATAATACCAACCTCCATCCATTTGTTTCGTCATTAGAAAATACTCCATCGATAACGCCAGCTACAAACTGCCCACCAGTTAAAAAACAGTAGCTGAGAGTTACCAGTCTTCCTCGGATTTCAGGTGGCGACACTTCAGAGATATACACGGGCACCGTCATTGAAGTTAGGCCTAAAATGGACACATTTAATTAACAAACTATTAGCTGAGAAATAAACCTTGTAAACAGACTTTAAAAAAATCTCAGCTAATTGGTACATAAAAGTACAAACGAAAAGAGCTTAGAAGTGACGTAGGCTTAATATCACTCTAAACTCACAACCGAATACATCTAGAGGTGGATACAGATTTTTCCTAGTTTATTTTTAAAAAAGAATTGTTGAAAATAATCTGAACAAAGAAGAGTCCATTTATTGGATGAGGCCAAGAATCTTAGTTATAAAAGTGTAGTGTAATGAAGAAGAAGTTTATGGCATGTGAATAGATTTTATTATGTACATCCACAAAGGTTTAGACAAGGTGAAGATAGATCAGGGGTCAGCTAGGTGCTTTGTACAGTTATGAAGCAAGTTCCATAGAGTAAAGAAACCGTGAACGATTCAACATATGTGCAAGTGTTATGAAGTCACAAAAAATAATATCGGTGTTCATAAAATATTTATCTAATAATATTCCTAGGGTTTTATGACCCTAACGCAGTGAGACATACCTCAAGTAGACTGTTAAAGTTTTGCCACTTTGCTAAGTACCCAGGAGTTCAGAGAACAGATACCATTATTACTACCAATCACTGTTTAGTTCTGTGACCAAGACACCATTGCCTACTTGTGTTGATGGTGTTTTCTTCACTAAGTACACTATTTAGTAGTGAGAGAAAGGCATTAAAAATACTTTATTGTGGCTTGATTTTTTTTTTTCATTGACCTATCCAGAGGCTACTCTCTGTTTGTTTTTAGCGTAAAGCTAAACAATGAGCTATTTGCGCACTGTCCACTTCGGAAATCGAACTCCGGATTTTAGCGTTGTAAGTCCGAAGGAGTAATACTGCTCTGACTCTATACACAGGATTGAACTTTTGGCCAAATCTGAAGTATTGCAACAGTTTTTCCAAATGATGAAATGCCACTATTTTTATGTTTCTGAACAGATCTTGTTTGTTTGTAGTTTAAGCACCAAGCTTCACAATGGGCTATCTATGCTCTGCCCACCACGAGTATCGAAACCCGGTTTTTAGCGTTGTAAATCCGCAGACATACCGCTGTGCCACTGGAGGGCCTGAATAAAATAAGCTATTAAAAAGTGCTAAAACTATGCTGGTTGAGTCCCCAGTGGCTCAGTGGTAAATCTGAAGGCTTATTACGCTAAAGAACCGGGATTCGATACCTGTGGTTGGCACAGCACAGAGAGCCCTTTGTTAACTTTGTATTTGGCAACAAACTGACACACAGTTTGTTGAAGAGGCTTAACATATGGTAAATAAAAGAGGACTAGCACGAAACAAAATTCTATTGCTAGATATTAATCTCAACTAGGTTAGACAAGTGTAGCAAATATATTGGTATTTTTCATAAATATTCCTTGATAATTTTAATAGTGAATTGCTCTCCTCTGCCACTAGGTTAAAACTGATAAGTTAAGAGCCTAGGGGCACAGGGAAAAACTGACACGAGGGTGTGGTTTATTTGGAAGTTCGTGTAAAGCTACACGAGAGTTATCTGCGCTAACTGTCATTAATTTAACAGTGAAAGACTAGAGGGAAACCAGCTAGTTATCACCACTCACCGCCAACTCTTGGGGTACTTTTTTACCAACGAATAGTGGGATTGACCATCTCATTATAACGTTCCCACGACTGAAAGGGCGGACATGTTTGGTGGGACAGGGGATTCGAACCCGCGACCCAAAAATTGCGTGTCGAACGCCCTAACCACCTGGCCATGCCTGGCCCCTGACACGAGGGAATGACATATATATATATATATCTGTGTTCATAGCTTTCCTTAACAAATTAGGTTCAAATCCCACTTCGGATGGTCTCTTATTTTTAATATACTTTTGAATAATATACCATATCAAATTGTATTAAATGTTTTACAGATTAAGAACAATAAGCATTACAGATAGGTGAACAAATTATTTTTGAATGCTTGTCTTCTTTCTCTTTTCCACTATTAAAGTTCGAATAAATAAAATGGATTAACACAGTATGTTAAGGCTTTTTGATAATTTATTCTTGTTTTATTTACCCATTTTTACATTATATTCTTACAGGATTTCCCTTTTATAATACTTGGCTTTTCATATACAACATCTATATATATGTCTGTCCTCTGTATCCTAACTTAGCTGCTTTTGTGCATTTAATTTATTTTGATCGGTTAAGAAGAATATGTTCATAGTTGTACAAAACGTTTTGTGTGTATATATATATATATATATGAGTCACATGTATATTAAATAAAAGGTTATTATCTCTATTAGAAATATTTAAAAGCTCAAGTGTTCTGTAAAATTCACATCAAAATTACAAAACACAATTCCTCCTGTCAAATGTCAAAACACATTGAAAAAATAACGTGATACGCTTTAAAAAATTAAAGTTATCACTGTGTTGTTCTACAAGAAGCACTGATCAGAATATTTGATCATTTTAGCTGTTATGTTATTTGGTTAATTTGTTTAGCATTTGTACATTGACTGGTAGAATAGACACCCTGTTAATTTCAAACATTTGTTTACCTGCTTAACATGAAATCCTAATATTTGTTTGTCTGCATAGAATCAAGACCCAGCTAAATCCCAATATTTATCTGCACAGAGTGAAAATCCAGTTACATTCCAACATTTCTTTGCTTACATAGAATGAATACCCACTTAATGTCCAATATTTGTCTACATAGAATGAAGACTAATTAAATCCCAAGATTTCTTTGTCTGCATAGAATGAATATCCAGTTAAATCCCATCATATGTTTCTCGTTATAGAATAAAGACCAGTTAAATCCTAACATGAAAACGCTTGTCTGATTTGATTGAAGACCTAGTTATGTTCCAATATGTACTTGTCTAACTTGGGTCAAAAATACAAGTAAATACTAACATTTGCTTGTTTGCCCAGACTCATTGTAAAACAAGATTGCACGTATATCTAACTAAGGTACGATTTCTTAGTGTAAGAGACACAGTTCTGTCGTTGTTGTTTTTCAAACCAAACTCTTATGCTAGAAACAATAATTTTATTAGACTCAATTTAATACACCGCAAAACAACACTTTTATAATTTATAAACAAAATCTTCAAATTGATGATTTGAGTCTGTGGTATGCAAGTACCATATATTGCACTTTCCCGTAATACATATGTTTATTTATACATTTTTTAAACTTTCCTGTGGTTCTAATTCGAAACACAGTAAATCCGGGAAAGTTCGTGTACCAGTTGAACCTTGGGTGTTATTAGTCCTAGTAAGATTCAATCACGGAAGCTAACTACTGTATTATGTCCTACATTACCTTGAGTACATAGGACAACTTTACGATTGGCACATGGAACAAGATACTCCTGGGTCAGCTACAGAGAAAAGATGAAATGTGAAAACAGTTTCGGTGCTTCCAGAAAGAAACTAATTACAGCTTTTAAAGGATCATGGCCTGTTGCAAAGTACTGGGTTTTCCTGTAGGTCAGGACTGTTGAAAAGTCCTGTGTTTTCCCGTAGGTCAGACTTATTGAAAAGTGCTGTGTTTTCCTGTAGATCAGGCCTGTTGAAAAGTGCTATGTTTTCCTGTAGGTCAGGACTATTGAAAAGTCCTGTGTTTTCCCGTAGGTCATACTTATTGAAAAGTCCTGTGTTTTCCCGTAGGTCAGACTTATTGAAAAGTGCTGTGTTTTCCTGTAGATCAGGCCTGTTGAAAAGTGCTATGTTTTCCCATAGGTCCATTAGTGACCATTCACCGTCATTTTTAAATTTCAGTTCCCTTTGAAACTTAATGTAGTTTTATTTTACTTAATTTCATCATTTTCAACCTCGAAAACGTGAAGTAATTGTGGAAAGTAAATCAGAGAAAACTTCTTTGTTTCTCTTCTTCTGTGCTTGTCTTCACGCCAACATTCCATTTAACCTAATCTTCCAACTGCTAGTTATGCGTGGGTGGTTTGAAAACTTCTTTGTTTCTCTTCTTCTGTGCTTGTCTTCACGCCAACATTCCATTTAACCTAATCTTCCAACTGCTAGTTATGCGTGGGTGGTTTGAAAACTTCTTTGTTTCTCTTCTTCTGTGCTTGTCTTCACGCCAACATTCCATTTAACCTAATCTTCCAACTGCTAGTTATGCGTGGGTGGTTTACTGTTGCGCTATTGTTCCCCTGAAGAATGGGGTTAACATCTAAAATCGGAGTGAAATGTTTTGTTTATATTTGCTATTTGGAGAAAAGATCTAGTCTCTTCCCAAACTAAGTTTACACGAATACCACGCAATTTCCAAGAATGTTCTATTGAAACAAGCATTACCATTTGGATAGAAAATATTATTAAAACTACGTACTAGAAATTAAAAGTCGATAAATAACTATTTTCATTTCATGCATATAAGCTACTCCTTCAACAGCCAATGAAAATGTTCCAATTAAAACGTAGGGCTGAAATTTAAAGATAATAAAACAGTCTTCAACTTTACTTTTTTTTTCTATATTTTTTCTCCCAAAATAATTAACGCGTTATTTAATGATGAGGAAAAGAAAAGAAAAATGTTATTCTTCACGTACACACTTCAGATGACGTTAGAGGCACGTCAGAATTTCAAGAGCATCGAGTCTCAGCATGGGAAACATCACGTGTTTACTTCTATTTATTTTCCATTCTTCCCCGATTGTTCAAATGCATGTATGGGAAACTTTCCACATTTTGTAGTCTATCGCTAGTGAAAGTTCTAGTACACAGAACTTGAGGTCTAATTACTTTTTTAAACAATCCTACTCCGTTTCACAGCTGCTATTCCATTGATTGCAGTTTTCCATTCATTTTGAAATGATCAGCTATTGAAAGAAAGACAGCATAAAGATAATCTGCCATAGAGAGAAACATTTATATTTGCCAGTTTTTTCGGTATTAAGTATCACATTTTCATAACTGCACTTAGACTCACGATTCTTGTTACGTTTTCGTATTTTTTAAC